GCGGATCCGCACTAAACTGGACAACCTCTGTACCTGTCTGGTGAGGTGAGGCGGCGAGAGGCGGCTGCTCTGATGTTTACGTGGTTGAAAATGGCTGGGAAGATAGCAACTTTTTCTCGCATTGCCTGAAAGAAGGTGTCGGCTTAACGTCGCTGGGATAATAGTCGAACAAAGGTACTATTTATTAATCTCTGGGCTTCCCAATACGGGTCATGCGGTGATCATTATCAGTACAGAATTGTTTGGTTACGTGCCTAATGTTTACATTTCCAAAATAACATTTTTTTTAGAGTGCTGTGTTTTGAAAGTCTCTTAAAGGTGAACAATCGCAGACTTTCAGCGAAATCGATTGGATTTTGTTATTATTAAAGGTATTGTTCTGTCACCACAGTTTCCGCGACCCTGTTATCGCGGTGTATTTATTACATTCGAATGACGGCATAAATGTCTCTTAAACTTTTCTTTTCACTGTGAAGACAATTCCTTTAAATTCTTGTTTCGACCTGGGTCTCAGGCATGATTCGTTAGGTGTATTTTGTTTTTTTAGAGTTTTTACTTGACGAAACCTACCAGAAAGCACACTGGGGCTCCATTCAACAGGTGTCTGTGCTGGTTTCAACGGTTTCTACTGTCTGACAAGACGTTAACATTCAATGTACATTATATATTGTCACATTAAAATTTGCGGGACCCATGTCTTTTATAAATAGGACTTACACAAAACATTGTGGGAAAAATATTGCATTTACAATGTCAAGTCTATTATACCATGGTTTTTAATTGAACTGCAACGGTTTTAATTTTTGTATTCTATCTGTCTAAAAGGTTGCAACAGACTTAGATGCAGAATTTATCATATATTGTGCAGTAAATTAGAAGAATTGTAAGAATGCACGAACTTTTCACCCAAGTCCTAAGTAAAAAGGATTTGTCTAAGGTATTGTCATAGTTAATAATTTTTTGACATAAGCTGTCATATGTTTCTCTCATTAAAAATTTTTCTCCCAAAACATTGTTCTATTTTAAGGCCGGGGATTTATTTTCTGTGGCTGATGCTGAAATTGTAAATGATCTCACCGAAGTTGTTACTACTATTTCTGAGATTGCAAGTCTTCCTGATTATGCCAACAACGACAATGATCAAAGTGTTGTTGAAATCTGCATTACAAGAGTCACATCTGCTATCAGGTGCAGTGGCAAAAATGTTTGAAAATTTCATTCATCTGCCGTATCTTATTATTTAACACTATTTTTTATTTTATTAGAGAAACTAACTCGATTGAGCAGCATTCAGAGGCACTTGTGTCTCTACTGGAATCCTGCCTTAACCACAATCTGAAACCATCTGCAAGAGATGAAGACCCTCCACATGCCAAAATTTCTTCAGATATCATCTCTTGCATTTTTCTGGTAAAATAGAGTGTTGTGAACCATAATTGTGTGAAACATAAATACTTTATACAATTCTGTATTTTAATTGCTGCCTGGATTTATATTTTTGACAGAACTACAACAAAAAGGAAGTCATGCGTCGTGCTCTTCCAGTTGCAGTAAAATTTCTTCATAAAGGCAACAAGGAACTTTCCCGGAATATGTCTTCATACTTGTCACTTGCTGCCATTGAAAATGCAGATCTATTGTCCAAACATATCCAGTTGATAATTGATTCAATCATATCAGGTAAACTTTTTACACGGGCACTTAAGTAAATTCACTTAAAATTACAACTTTTTCATTTTTAAACAAATATCATTCTTTTTTTAGGAAACTTTTCTTTATGTCGTGTTGTCCCACAAGTTTATGAGGTGACAAAAGAACCTGTGCATGAGCATGCAATGGCTTTAGTATCACTCCTCCCACTCTGTGAAAATCATGAAAAGCTGGCATTACTCTCTTTATTTGCTATGATAGCTAAGAACAAACCTGCTCTTTTGGAACCAAGCTTACCTCAGCTTTGTGAATATCTGAGTCAAGCTTCTACTGCTTCAGATACAATGAAAGTTTTTGTGAACATGGCTGAAAAGAGACCTCAATTATTAATTGATCACTTGTCAGAAATTAAGAAAGTTGTGGAATGTTATCCAAATACATTATGCCTAGCTGCTCAAGTAATATCATCAGTTGGTAAGCTGAGCAAAGATAGGGCTCAAGAGGCTCTGAATTTTGTTCTGGAGCATCTGCCTAAGGCAGATAGGGGCTCGCAACACACACTTTTGCATGAAGCCACACGGCTTTGTAGCTCTTATCCTGTTTTATTCACTGACAAAATGCTGCAAGGGGTTCGCCAATGTGGTCAGAGCCGTAATGCCCCTCATGTGAATTTAACCTCAGGAGGAGTTACAATTGTGAAAGTTGGAGGAAGTGGTAGTGGCACTGCTAGTTCTGAAACAGGATTATTGGATGGTACTGGAGGGCGGAAAAGCGCTGCCAGCAATCGCCAGTCTCATTCTGAAGCTAATGGTGCCCTTAACAGACAAGAGGCTAATAGGCTTGTTTTAAGTCGGCCAAGGCTAGGAGGTGATAGTCGAAGTACAGGGCGCTTGCATGTCACCGGGGCTCATCGGAGTATGACCAGACTTAATATAAGTAAGTTAACGGCTAAGAAGCCTGTTGTTCATCTCCTTCACTTATTTGATTGATTTGACTAATTTGTGTGACCAACAACATTTCAGCTGGTGGAGGAAGTGGTGGAGGAGGAGGAGTTGGAGGGGGAGGAGGTGGTAACAGTAGCCGATTGGGGTCTGTTGGAGGACTACATAAGAGCATGACCAGACTCAGTTCAACACAACAAATTAATTTAGTGCCAAATAGTAGCTCGGCACATTCACCTACCATCCCTGGACCATTAGCTCAAACTTCACTGAGCTCAAATAATCGTTCTGTAACTGCTATCAATAATAATCAAAGAAATAGTCAGTATGGGATATCAAGTGGTGGAGTCACTGTCACAACAACTCAAGATTCTGCTGCTTCTGCTCGCTCCAGCATGTATGCTTATCGTCAATTATGTTGCTCAACCTTGTTTTATGAAATAATATTTAGTTTTTAGTAATTTTAATATTGGTATTTTTCACAGTGGGGGCAGTGGATCTGTTTTGAGAGATGATCGTGAGTTGGTTTCAATCTCGACTTCTTTTCCGCTAAATGGTCCTCCTGTAACAGTCCACACTACTAGAGATCCTGGTAACTTACTCTCCAACTTTCATTTTATTTTAACTCATCTATTTTCAAAGTTTTAAAATCCTGTCTGTAATGTACCCGTTTTTTTTCTATAGCAGGCAATGTTGTGGGATCCAGACTTCAGCACACTCATATACATTCCTCGTCCCAGCAGTCTCAATTGCAAAGTTCAATATCATCTCAGTCTGTGCTCTCTTCACATACGTCAAAGCTATCATCCAGCCAAATAGCAAACCATCATGTTATGGGTGTGCTGCCTTTACCAAATTCAAATTTCAAAAATATTACATCTTTAAAATGTTGATGTTTTACTTGTTTTTGTTTTTTTCAGTAAACTCACTTCAAAACCAGCAGCAACTTCAGCCTTTGCTTCCAACACTACATCAGCCATCATATATGGTCACGCAGCCCCAACAACCACTTATGCAGCAGCAACAATTGCATCAGCAGCAGCAACCTCCATCTGCCCCAACTCCAGCTCCACCATATGCATCCAGTAATCATGTGGCCCAAGTTCAGCCTTCCTCTTCTGCGTCAAATCAAAACCAGACTCCTGCATATTCAAGTGTAGTAACTCCTCGACGACAAAACACTAGTGTTACAATTATATCAAGTAATTCAAATACAAACAATGCATCAATGGCCGCTGCCTCTCAGGTTAAATATTAACAATGAAATTTACCAGTCTTAAAAAAAAATTCAATAGAGATGCAGTAATGCACACTTATGTATTTATCTGTTATGTTTTATTATCTTTTACAGAGAATCAGTGTATTTGAACCATATCCAATGAGAGATACTGTACAACATTTTTGTGAGAAGCACCTGGATAAAATCAAAGCATATATGGAGAATGTGTCTGTGCGCATACCACCACCAGCGAAGTGTACCATTGAAGGTAGAATTTTTTCCTTATTTCTATCAATTTCTTCTGTTTTATATATATATTTTGAAATAATTGTCATATTTGTGTTACAGAGAGGAGAGCTAAAAAGGTGGCTAAGCTACATTTTGCCTGTCAAGGTAGAGGGGAACATTGTCTTTACAATAGAACCTTTTTCACCATGAAAACAAGAAACCCTCGCATTTGGATTCACTTGATGTTCTTGTCTTTACAGGTAACAATTTTGTTCCAGTTTTCATTAAAATTTGTTCAGTCCACACTTAACTGTTAATCTGATCTGTCTTGTTTTTAATTATCTTACCTACTTTTAGGCTAGATCACAGTCCGCTCTAAGCTCAAGAGACTCCTCTGTCAGCAGCTTAAAAAATTGTTGGGATATTTTGAAGTGTGAAAATAAGACATTTTTGACAGTGGTGACTTCAGCATTTCCATGTTCAAAGGTAAGTCTGTTAAAAAAGAAAAAAGGAAAGAAACTTGGAATAATAAGTTTTTTCTTTGTTTTGTTGAAGAAAACAAAACACTGAGCTCTTGAGCTCATATTCACTTCCTTAACTTCCAGGATCAGGAGACTCTTCTGAATGAGCTGAGACATTCTGGCTTTTTTGATGTGCTAGAGTGTGTACGTGTAGGAGGAGGAGGGAATAGCATACTTGATGGGCCCCTTTGGGGCTGTTTTCTTTGCAACCATCCTGAACGAGCTGTTGGGTTTCTGCAAGATTCTCAACCTGTGATTGAAGGACAGCTAAAGGAAAAAAAGGGCCGTTGGCGTTTATTCAGGCGGTGGCGAACCCGTTACTTCACTTTGTCTCCAGCACATTTGTCATGTAAAGGATCGGTAAGCTTTAAATTTCTGTTCCACCAAACTAATCTGCCTGTCTTTCCTTTTACACTTTTACTCTTACTATATTTGTTTCAGAAGGATGACAAGGATGTGACCCCGATTGAGGTCAACCAGATCCGTAGTGTAAAGGTCAGTCGAGGGGCACGCAATATACCTAAAGCGTTTGAAATATTTACTGGAGATCAGTCTCTCATTTTGAAACCTAAAGATGGTAAAAATGCTGAGGAATGGGTACAATGTCTTTCGGTGGCATTAGCACATTCTCATGCTCGCGATTCCCCATCTAACAAGACACACTCTTTACCAGCAACTCTACGTACACCTATTTAGTTGGGTCATTTAATACCAACTCGGTATATTTTATTTTATTGTGACTACCTTTGCTTCTTGATTTTAGTTTCATAAAACTAATATTTTTGGGGAATAGACTGAAAAACCTCAATTCCAGTTTTCTTTTGATGTTTATTGTCAAGTTTTGATTGATGTACACAAAATTTGTATATGGGGCATATATTTTTTTATGGCTAATAATATTTTATTGTATTGCATATTTATTACAAATCTGTACAGACTTATTATTGTTATTAATAATTTTGTTATTTTTTTAGAATGAAAATATTTAGAAAGTTAATGAATTTGCTCATTGTCATTGTCTCATTGTATTTTTTATTGGTGTCTGGTCACACATTCCAGAGTTATAGTTTGTCCAGCTGATTATCCAGTCTGCTGTATAAAATAAATACTTTTCGAAAAATATTTTGAATGTCATAGTCTTAAGTCCCATCTTTCATCACTTTGCTCTCAAGTGACAGCAACTGCTGGAGAAACCCAGCATTTGGTTTGGATGCAGGTCTTTTCTTTTTCACATATTCACTTGCTTCATTAAACGTAAGACCTTTGTAACTCATCAAGAAGGCAATTACTACTGTTGGTGCCCGAGATACTCCTGCATTACAATGCACAAGTACGCAACCTCCTTTGCTGATGACATCCTCTATCAAAGGCAATGTTTTTTTCAGCATATTGTCTATGGGCTCATGAGGCAGATCAAGAGCAGGAATGAAACTATAGGACAAGTTAGATAACTGTGGAAGAGGAGGAACTTGAACACCTAAGCTTATAACATGGGTGACACCACAATCTTTCATTAGTTGAAAATCTTGGGTTACATCTTGTGATCCAAGATACAATGAAGATTTAATTATTTCAGCCACTTGGAGATCTGGTTTTGTGTCAATCACAAAACCAGGACAAGACTGGCTGTTCTCTGAAATTTCCTTTTGAAAGTGCTCCCCATGTAATACTTCCTCCAAAAGTGTTTTTCCCTCAACTGTTGTTACTCTTGTCCTAGTGTGATTAAGCAATGAGCGCTGTTTTTTCAGTTCAGAGAGGAAACTCATATTAGACTTTCAGGCACAGCTCCCGCTGTTTCAAAAGAAACATAAGGTTTGAGTATTCTTGAATGCACTGCTTTTGTTTCCTATTAACAGCCAAATCGTCTTCATTATAGGTAACCTTCATTAAATAAAGGCCACAGGCTGGAGCAATGATGGACATTATCCATTCATCACTTTGTACTTCTAAGTCAAGCATTCTTTGCAAGCCATTGCATGAGAACTTCCCTTGACCAACTGCTACTAGAGCGCCGATCATGCGACGAACCTGTTGTTTCAAAGTGTGAATGATAAGTCTGATGATATTATAAGCGATAATTATTACTCAACCAGTGAGAAATATACTAGACCTACCTGTCGGTAATTAAATGACCGCCCTTCAACAATGAAATCCCAATAATCAAAATTGTTTGAGAATGGCTCATGAAGATCACACATTAATGGAGCTCCTTGGTTAATTGTGAAAGAGAAAATTCTGCGTATGGGAGTCCTCACAAGTGTTTGTTTTGATGGTTTTCCAGTGAAAGAGAGGAAGTTGTGGGTCCCAATGAGAAGTGACAATCCCTTTTGGACTGCATCTATGTCGAAGCCAGGCTTCCTGATTAGACAGACATCATATTAAAATTCAAAAGAGGCAAGAAGCAGGTAATTCATGAACATATATGTACACATAATACAGCTTTACCTGAGGAAATAACAACGTGTTACTTCAGAAATTGGAGTGTATGGATCTATGCAATCAAAGTTGTACTTTGGCACAGCTATTCTGTACAGGTAAGTACGAAACCTCGCAAATTTACGAGCATTAAAATCATCTGCAACTTGGCGTATAGCAGAAACCCTGCAAAATGTTAAAATTGTCCTAAAACACTACTTCACTGATTTAATTGGTTTACTAGATTACATTAAGTTAAAATACCTGAGACCAATGTTGTTCTTTCTATAAAATTTATTTAATACATTCAAAACATTCGTTAAGCTAAGTTCACGATCAGTTAGAAGATCAACATGAGCAGTATTTTGAATGGCATGCACCCCTCGATCTGTTCTAAAAATATCAGTAGTTTTAAATCACCAAAATAATCGAAAAAATTAAACAATAGCCATCATTGTTCTTCTATCTTTGAAGAAAATTGTATTGCTCTTCTGTACCTGCTAGAAACGACTACATTCGAAGCAAGAGATGTGTTTTTGAGGCGTTGCAAACGGTCTTCCAGTGCTCCAACAACAGAGGAAAGATTATTACCATCTCTCGAGCAGCTTCTGCAACCAAAGTTACCGCTGGTTAACCTTCTGAAACACGGTTGCAAAATTAAATACATAACCATGCCGGTAGTCCAACTCACTGGAAATGATTTCCTAGGTAAGAGAAGCTCAACAAGTATCTCCTTTTCATTGAAAATAGGAAACGATCGAAAGTTATTGAAAGTACTTCGTGCCTTCATGGGCTTAGCGTTCAAATTCATTGATCAATTTTAGCAAAGATTTCAGTCAGCACGCATTCATGCTTTCCAAAAGCTTCTGCTATGGCCCATCGTCCACCGTTTTGACTGCTATATTTCTCGTAGCAAATGTTGCACCATACTTCTGCGTTCGAAAATATAGCGTTTAGAGTTACTGTCCTTGTCTTTCCCGTTGCTACAGTGAGTGAGCAACAGAAAGGGAGAGAAGATAAACACACAGCACTATCAACTGATGACAGAGACATGACTAGGAACGATTTGAAAAATCATGTGGCTTCGCCATTAAAGAATTATTCTTTGTTTAACCTTGCTTTCCGAGGGTTTTCTAGGTTTTAGAAGCACAGCGTGTGTCCTTTTCGGGTTTGTAGCAAGTAATTATTATCTTTTTAAGTGTAAGAACAGATAAATTAACCACAAAGCGTCCCTCCAGCAATCAACTACCACAACCCGACGATTATGCGACGACCTGTTATACAGAACTGAAGTGATGGTTTTATCGGTGCAGTCGTATTATGTACTGCCGTTCATTTAAATCATCCCTCTCTCAAGTTCCTAAATTGCACATTCGGATTCAGGTCCGCTTTCCGGTCATTGGACCCGTTGCAAATTAACCAACATAACACACACAAAAGAACCATTATAATGAGTTGTTTAGGCGCAATTTTAAAGAAATTAGCCCTGAAAAGATCCCATTGTCTTATTTAAGATTCAATCTGTCAATAGTTAAAGCCCAAATGAACATTTTCGCAACCTATTCCGACGTCATTTTTGTGTCTTGGGTTGTCAACCCTTTCCCGTGGCATCGAAATCTTGTCCACTGGGGCTGCACTGCTTCTGTGACTCCCTTGTCTTCTATGCTTGTGTAGTATAGTAAAGTATAGTGTGCGAAGCCAATAAATCGAGAAATAGAATGACAAATCGTTCGAGGATGCAGATCTGATAGTTCAGAAGAGGAAATGATAATGATAAATGTGAAGCAAATCTAGCTTTGAAGATTTGACACCAGATTCTTAGGTGTTCGCGTAAGTAGACAAAACCAACAAAACAGCAAAACAGCAGAAGCTTCCCCAAGCTGTCCCCTCCCCCTCCCCTCCTACCCATCCACCATGTGTAGTCCATCTAGGAAAAGAGTATCCCCGATTCTACGGGCGTGAAATGTGTGGTACGGATACTCTTTGGCTATACCGGCTATACTATATGCATTTGCATTAGAACAGGCCTCTGCTGGAGTATGTCGTAAAAGGCAACTTAATCCCTAGATAAGTTTAAGTCGTTGCCCTTAATCCTTCTGTCAAGTCATCATCTTGTGCCTCAACGCTGCATTCGTTTGATGAACATCCATATGGCTTCAGGAGGCTGATATTGTAAATGTTGTGATTAAGGTAAGCAGGGAACATAACCTTAGATGTGTTGGTGTGTCAACAAGTTGTTGTGCGCAGAACGTGCCAAAAATCAAATTTATGTCGTCTTACTATGCCACTCAAAAACGGATTTTAATTATTATATCAATTTTCGATCTGTCAATTAAAATTCCCACCTACTGTTTTTCTTTACATTTCTTCTCTATACATTTTCCAGGCGATTCCAGAATGGATAATGAATCAAAAACTCGATTCAAACTCAGGTGTGTCCTGCTTGAGTTGTTGAAAAGTGACTATCAAGTAACCGATGACACAATTTTGGAGAAACTTATTTCACACCTTTCTGCCAAAGACAGTGGTGTGTAACTGTTTCCATCTCTGTTATGTGTTGCTGCAGGGCTTTGGTACATCATTAGTTTTATTAAATCACAATATTTTCCTTGTGCTTGCAGGATATCAAATAATTGATGTTCCACTGTGCACAGCATGGGCACGATCTGTTGTGTCCTCATGGCATGATGGCAAATCTTCTGTAGTTGTTGTAAGCTTTGCACTTCGTCTTTTGGCTATTATTGTAGAAAATGAGAGTAATTTCCGTGACATACAGAAAACGGATGGGTCAGCTGAGCCAGGTTTTGAGTGTATTGTCAACACCCCACATGGTGGTGTATTTTTACAACTGCTACGTGATGTGTGCTTGACTACATCAAAGAGTGCCTCAAATTTTTCTGTAAAATGTGCACTTATAAAGTTGCTTTCATCGCTTTTGAAACATTCATGTGGACGTCAGTGGATAATGAGTTCTGGTAAGTATTTAAAACTAATAAGGCCCATTTTGTGCAACTAATAAATTTTAAGTGAAGATTTTTGCTCATTTTTAAAATTACAGGTTTATGGAAGGAAGTTCATGAAATGTGCTTAAGCGATTCAAGTGTGTATGTTGTTCGTGAAGCAAGGAAATTTTTATCTGATCTCTTAAATGGCATGTCTCAAACTCAGGATTTGGAGGTAGATGCAGTCCTGTCATGTGTTTTAGAACCCTTTTTATCAGTGCCATCTTTTGCTGACCTTTCTCTGTGTACTGTGAGTAACTTAAATTTCTATCTTTTCTTGCTGACTAAGGAAATTTTATTTTCATTGACCGTGTTGTTTTTGTTTGTTATTTTAGTCAAGGGTTATAGCAAGTCTCCACCTTTTGGGAGATATTTTAGACAACGCTCTTCTTACATCAGATCCTGAAACAAATAAAATTTCTTCCCCTGTTTTCAATATTATTAGTAAGCCGTCAGTTGGCCTACTTTTAAAATCTCTGGAGGCACTTAAAGTTACCAAAAGTGAAGAAATGGAAGAGCTTCTATCAAAAATTGCAGTTGCTTTCTACATATTGAATACTGTCAAGGATGGGTATGTTTATCTGTAAACTTATTCTGGAACACCCAGACTAATGTTTGATTCTAACAAGTAATTTTACAAACTAAAAACTTCAAAGTTCACATCAATATATTCAATTAATACGTGCTTGTACTGTGGTATATCTAAATATATATATGTTGAAGAATACATTCATATGTGTGTTTTACAGGAAGAAACATGAACCTATTGAAGTAAAGGCTATATGCATTCAAATTCTTGGAGTGTTTAATGCCCTTATAAATAAGGGAAGTGTTGAAAATGTTCTGAAGCTCTGTGTTCTGTGTCATAATTACTGGACCTACGTTGCTAAAATCCAAAGAGCCAATGAAGGGGAATGTCCACCACCACCAGCTGCAGGAGACGAAAAACACTATCGCTTTGAGGACCAACTTCTTTGTCTGCAAGTATGTATGCTCCTACTGTCTAGATCAGACTATATATTAATCTAATCTTATTTTTTAGTATTCAGTCACTCTTCTGTCTCTGCACACCAATCTTTTATCTTTACAGGGGTTGAGCAGAACCTTACTACCTTACTTTGTTGCACTGATTAATGAATATATAATTCCCAATTATTGCACATTTATTTTATTCTAGCCTCTCCATCACAGCTGCTTCTTCAAAATGGTCTACGTCTTGTGTGAGAGTTGCAGAGATGTTTAAGAGACTTCATGGCATTTCATTCGGTCCTTTGATTACAGCTTGCACCAATATTTTCTCTTATAGTAACAGCACCAAGTGAAAATGATAAAGAGCTCTATCTTTACAAGCTTGCTTATAAAATATGTTTTGAGTCTCAACGATTAGTATTTTCATTCCGCAATATGGTTCTGCAACTTCAGCGCCTCCACCATTGGTTAGCAATGAGTGCAAGATCTGTAATGTGTCTTGCCAAACGACTGACGAGGGTGAGATTCAGTGGGGTTGTCCTTAGTTCAGTACTGTTAACGTTTTGTCTCAGCTTCCACTGTACAAAAATGCTCTTTTTAAAATTATTTCTGTGTGTTTCTATTTCTTTTGTTTTTGAAAAACTTCTCGAAGTATGCTTTTTTTACCATCATTTCTGTTTATGTTGTACTTTGTGCTGAATTGGGGATACCCTAAATCTTTTAATTATGGTGTGAAACGTTTGTGAAGTGTATATTGTGCCCAAAAGTACATACCGGTATTGTATTGTAGAACTTTCCAGACCTTTTAGCTGCTGCTTCTTATGCTTTTAAGTGTTTACAAAATGCAAAGGAAGAACTTGTGAGAGTTTACCAATTGTTGTCTGCTATTATGTTTTCCACACATCAAGTGAACAACTTTTCTTTGTGTTTCTTATTGGTTTGATAATTTTTTTCTTTTTTGTATTGTGTTGGTTGGGTGTAAAATTGTGTGTCATTGATTGTGTGTTTTTAGGCTTTCTTGTATTTGATTTGCACCTTGCAGTTATTCTAAGCACCCTAACTTTTTTCTTGACTAGAATAAAGGCAGTCAAAAACAGTACAGTAAATTAAGTTTGCCATCAATCATGGTTCTCGCCATTTATAGTTTATCTATCCAAATAGGTATACATCCTATCTCTGGTTTCAATGTTTTTAAGTCAAATTTATCACAGTGGTTTTCATCCCTTTCTATAAGTTATAGGTGCTTTTTTTTCCCTTTTGGAAAATATGTGTTTTCTTTTCTCCCTTTCATAGTATTTTTCAATCTCTCTATTCTGAAAACTCTTGTACAGATTCTCCCAATGTGTGTGGGTATTTCCCAGTCAGAGCAGTTTGATGTTGTAGCTGACATGACTGAGGCTTTCATCCAAAAGCTGACCTCTATTATTCATAACCATGTCCATCGCATGGCATATGTATTTCGAGCTGCTATAAGTGAAAGAGGTTTTGATGAAAGACTTGCTTTGCTTGGTGTTTCTTCTATATTATCTGTGAAAAACACACTTACAAGGGTAAGACAGTAACTACATTCTCTGTACCTGCTTGCTGGTTGGGTACATTGCTGGAAGGTTTCTGATGGTTGATTTCTGCTTGCTGTGCTAAAATGGGTGGTCGTGCGTGGTTTGGGTCCTTCTACTTACTGGTTGTTACAAAAAATGGTACTGGTACTTGGTACTGATGGGTAGTTGGTGTTGGTTTTTTGCAAAGTGTCAAGAAAAGAAAATTTTGTGCAGCATAATCTGATAACTCTTGGTGCATCTTTTACTTAATCATCTATTTCTCTTTTCCCTCCGGCCTGGAACATCTACACTGGGTTTCATTTCTCCTTCCATCAATGTTTTTTTTTGTGTCACATCTTTACTCTGTTGTGATTGGATTGCTTTATTTGCAGATATTTTCAGCCTGGGTTTTTCTTTTTATGGTCATTCATAAAAAATATTCATTCAATCGTCTTACCTTTCCTCAATGCTTATTTCTGCAGTTGTCATGTTTTGAGCTTTTTGTGCCATTCATGGGCCTTTTCTGTTCTGACTTTGCTTTTTGCAGCTAACTCCTCTGTGTGTGGGATGTACTATGGGTGATTCCACTCTTGAGTCCTATTTTCAAATACAAGTATCCCAACGAATAACACTTGATGTAATGAGATCTATTTATGCATTTAGAGATGCTCTAATTAAGACACAGAGCAGTGCTCTGATGGATAGGGCAGCCCTTCAGTCTGTTGTCACTATTTCCTCTCTCAGTGTGAGAGGGGTGCATCCTGAAACAGAACGGGTAAGAAGAATCCTCTATCATATCCGTTGCTGCTGCAAATCAGCTCGGTGACGGCATATCTCTTTAAATGTAGAAATCTAATTTAATTTAACAAAACTAAGTTACTGTACTTTTGGTTGTTGACTTTGGTTACATTTACAGTACTGCTTTAGAGATGGTGCTTTGCATGGCATTTATAAATTCTAACTTGGTGATCTGGGAGGATACCTGTACCATTTCCATACTTCAATTGCTTGTTTTGTATGTGACACTTAAGATTACGAGGTAGTTAACACTTTCTGTGCAACCTGCTAAAGTGCGCCTTTTTTTGCGATGGGACCTACTACCCAGAAGGTTCTCTTTCCAGAGTTCTTATAAGTCTTTGGTGAAAACAAAGACAAATAGCCCTTTTGTTATATTGGCTCCCAACAGAAAGTGTTAAGTGCCCTAAAATCATCAAAGCATGAAAAATCTTATTCCTATCTTGGTTTCTCTGCCATTTATGTACGTTTTGAGGTGTACGGTAATTAAAAACAGTTAAATGTTTACAAGTCAATATCTTTGCTTGAAAGCTTATTAACAATTTGAATACGGTAAGTTTGGCCTTTTCTGTATGCATGGAGGTACTTCTCCCTTAGTTTAAGTGCTACTTGCTTGAAATAAAAATTTTTAAATTTTCTATCCATCTTCACTTTATATATCTACAGGTTAAATATATTTTTATCTATTTCAGGATAGAGCTGTATTGGTTTTCCAATCATTCATTTATGTGCTGAAACACTTTGTCCTTTGTGCTGAATCTGAAAATAAACAAGGAGGATGGGGTGGAGAATTCCGCGAATCTCATCATTCTACACTCCTAGTTGCAATTTTGGATGGTCTGGCCAATTTAGTGCGTTCTCATCGCATCACCTGGAGAGAGAGTGTAGAATCTCTATGTTTATTAACTCTTGCTCAAGAGCTTCTAGATAGCCCAACATTTTCCAGTAAGGTTGGGGTAAGTGCAATTTGACATATTTCGTCCAACTTAAAAAAAATACCTGTGAACTGTGAATTTTGACATTGATTTCTTTTTACAGCTTGTTGTTCAAGCATTACAACTAATAAAGCTTTGTATTGAGAACTTTATGCCTCCAAATCTTGCTTTGTTGACTAACTCCTTAAGTGGCACGAGCCTTGACCATTTGGGCCCGTTAATATACAAGCGCTTGCATGATCCTCATTGGGAAGTTCGTGACAGTTCACTGGAAGTTTTGCTTACTCTAGCAACTATATCACATACAAGTAAAATCACAAATGTCGGTTTTAAAATTCTCTGTTCTTAATTTATTTCTGTATTCAAAACTTAAACGTTTTTTCCAGAATATCCACTCTTTCAAGAACTAATTCTTGATAATAAGCTTACTGAAGTTGTTGTCCATCTAGCACTTAATGATGCTGAGAACTATGTTTGTGCCTCAGCTACAAAGTGCCTTACAGCTATGATTCGTGTTGATCGATTCTGGAATGAGGAACTTAGTGACAAGGACTTAGTGGTAAGGGAAATAAGGGTTTGATTGTTTTCTTCAAAGTGTACAGGTATATCAGGTACATGATGTAATGTTTCATTTTAACATTACAGAATAAAATGATAGGAATACTTAATGGAGAAAGTGAAGGTGTTTTACGGAGAGAAGCATCATTGCTCATGAGTGAGATATTCAAATATCGTAAAGTTCCGTAAGTCTTTTGATTTGTGTTCTTTTATTAAGAAGGTACTTCACCTTCTTCAAGTTTCATTGATACAGTATTTAGAAAATCCCATCCTCTCTTCATTGCAATATTTTGACTACTATTATATTATTTTAATTTTTCAGATCTGATGTGCTCCAGAAAATGTGTCTGACCATGGCTAATGTAGTTTTATCAGACCTCCACTGGGAAGTAAAAGTGAATGCTTTAATTTTTTGGAAGCTTATGATAGAGCGGCAAATGAATGACCAGGGCATGATTGATGGTGTGTTCCCTCAAGTCACCTTTTCTAAGGAGCACAGAAAGATAATCAACCTGACGCCATCTGTAATTAAAGACCGACTGCGGAAAGTGCTAGCAGAATTATCCCAAAATGGATGTCTCCATGTAAGTTTAAGTACTGTACATCTGATGTTTCCTGAAAGCCAGGACACTTTCCTCCCCTCATTTTCATGTTTACATTACAAATAGTTTTTCATGAATTTTGTTTTAATAGGTGCTGGTTGAAGCTATTCGCAAAGATGAAGACTTGGAAGTAGTTAAGAGAGCATCTGAAATCATATCATATTTATCAGTTGTTCTTGAGAAACATGGTCTCCTTGATCGAAAGAATAATATGAGCTTAACCCCTACACCATCAGAAGCATCACCAGCTCTTAGTTTAAATAATGTGTCTTCACCATCTAATCAATCAGACTGTCCTTCTACATCTCCTAGTTCTGGTATGAGCTCCTTTTATGAAGTTGAAGTTCCTGCCCAGGGCACAGTTGAACAGAGTGTGTCGAATTCGAGCAGTTACAATTCTCTGAATAGCAATAACTATTCAAAGTCAGTTGGAAAATCTATTTTAGATTTAGATCCTCAAGTTATGGGTTTTGATGTTTTGAATGATGATGTTTTGGAGCTGCCTGGCATTTCAAAAGCAGATATACAAGACAAAGTTATTGACTCGATTCTCAATGATAGAGACATTAACCTGTTAGCTAAAGTTTACTTAGGGACCGGAGCCGAGGTAACAGGCCGCCAGGGCCCAGAAACTAAAATTTCAAAACCTGTTAGGCCTCTGGTTGTCTTGAACCCAGAAGAATTCTTGAGCCAACTTTCAATATTGGAAGTTGAAAAAATTGTAAGTGAAAGAACTCGCTGGGTTATGGATACAGGTGGTAACCTGGACACGCTTCTTGATGACATGTTAATCACACGAAACCTCAGTCTTAAGGAAGAAGACGACTATAATGCTATGGACTGTTACTGAACATGTAAGAATTTCGTCTAAATCTAATTTGTATGAAATCTGTGGGGTCACTTTTGTTGAGTAAATTTTTAATTGATAGTTTCCTGACCAATAAAATTGTCAGTTGTACTTTGTTGAATACTATGAGTTTTCCACACTCATCAAAGTGCCTTATTGTAAGTTATTAGAGTTTATAGATTTTGATCTTTATATCATGAGATATTAAGGCAAATGAAAATATTTGTAAAACTATATGTGTATAATAAATGTTTTTTTGTTTATGTTACACTGTAGATTGATTTTATAACATGGGGGTACAAACCCAAGCTGACTCAAGTATGAGACTTTAACACACAGTGTCTTAACAAATGTATTGAGGATGTAGAAGAACCCATATTACAAAATATGATGTTTTTTTTGTTTTTTTTAACGACATAGTGTATCTACGTACATATACTATATAAATAACCTGTACAAGAAATCAATTTACAAAAATTACTCTACAATAATCATTATTAATAACAGATGAATCAAAAATTCTGAAGCCAAGGCCCTCTTCACTTTATGCAAGGAAGAATGAGACAACCGCGTGGTCTATCTTCGACTCGTATATTATTACTCTTTGGTCCTTTTCCTTTAAATTTACTAGGAACAATCTACGCAGAAACGAGCCACCTTTTCTCCTCCTTGACTTGCTTCCAATGTGGAGTGCAGACAAAGTCAAACCGACAGGCAGTGATAATGGCATATGTCCTTGGCAGTCCCCCTCTCGGGTGAAGAAGAGGAGGCGGCCGTCTTTTCACATCGCACCGTGCACTGCTTCGACGAGTCAAAATGCGTCCACACACTACTGCACCACGCACCATCGCCGGCAGCCTCCTCAGGTCCCGGCACCGGCAATTCACTCCACTTCACGTCCACTACATGAGATCTGGCACAGTCCAAGGGCACCTGCCAAGGCCTTCACACAGCCCCGCGCCACCCCGCGCCACCGCTCTGGACGCCGCCGTCCCGCTGCCCCGCACCAGCCGCACCTGCTCAGCAAGGGCAGGTGTCGTCCTTCTGCTGGATGGGACTGCGGTCCAAGCGCCACCTGGAACAGACGAGGACGGTCCTTGAATTGTTTGCGGGAGCCTGCCGAGCGTGGAGGCGATGGTGACACCCTCCCCCCGTGACGTACGCGGAGCGCGGGGCCGTTCGCTATGCGGTCTCCAGCAGGTTGCTGGGGTGGTGGCGCGGGCCCGGGCCCAGCGGTTGGTGGTGGTGGTGGTGGTGCTGGTGGTGGTGGCCCAGCCGCTGGGCCAGCTCGTGCATCACGTCGCGGAAGATGACCGAGTCCACGTTCTCGCCCAGCATGTAGAGCAGGAACCAGTCCCCCATCTTGGAGCGTCGCACGATGGCGTCGATGTCGTCCCTGTTGATGAGCGGGTAGCGCAGGCGCAGCAGATACACCTGGTGGCGAGGAGAAAATGCTGACGTGGTTACGTGCCCCTGTGCCCACCGTGCACTAACGTGGGCTTTAAGGACATGGGCCCGCCCGGAGTTGAGCCCGAACCATTGTAGGCCCAAGCAATGTCTGAGCCAAGCTACATGTAGCCAGGACCAAAGCTGGCGAGTCAGACTCGGAACTAGGCTCATATCTGGCATTGGTCGGGCCTTCAGTGGTCCAGGCTTAACTCCGGGGCGGGCTCATGTCGGTACGGCCCTAACGAGTCGCTCCCTCACCCGTATCCGGGGGCTGAGGATGATGAGCCCGCGGTACAGGACGGTGAGCAGGCTGAGCGCGCCCAGGACGATGAACCAGAACCAGAGGAACACGTAGATCTTCTCGTTGACCACGTTGAGCGGCAGGATGCAGACGGCGTCGTGCCTCTCCACCTCCCCGGACGGGCCGAACTTGTGGAAGGTGCACTTGGTCATGCGGGGGAAGACGTAGACGAGCGGGTCGATGCGCGTCTCCTCGTCGCTCTCCATGAACTGGAGCACCTCGATGCCGAAGCGGAGGAAGGCGCCGTCAAAGAACTTGTCCATGAGGAACATCTGACCTGCGAGCCGAAAGACACAGCACAAAATCAAACATAGGAAACTTATGAAAATGCAGTTTGGTAGGGTTTTTTTTTTTTTTTTTTGCGGTGGCGCAGCAAGCGTGTGGCCGGGCAAGAAGAAGAATGGCGCGAAAAACACGCCGCCCATCACCGCGACTCGGAAGCGATTAAGCCTGACTAGCTGGGGTGCGTCCGAGGCGGGGCGGGGGTGGGCCGCGGGTGGGGCGTGCGAGAGAGAGACAGACCCTCGCCGCAGCCCCTGCGTTAACTCGCACGCGGCCCTCGATCGCGCATGACGTGGTCGGCGAGGCGCGGCGAGGCGCGAAGGCGAGACAGAGGAGAGGGAAGCGCCCTGCGGCGACTCCGAATCCACGAATCAAAACAAAACTACTGTGATCCCGCGGCCAGGGCAGCCGCTCCACGCCACGCCACGCCACGGCGACCAGCGGGGCGGCGATTCGCGAGTCTATAACTTGGCCGCGTGACAGATACAAAGCGGCAACACATGTCGGGCTGGGCGGCTCGGGGCTCGAGGCCCGGCGCGGCGCGCCCGGCGCTCGCCTTGGAGCGTCCTTAAATGAGGAGACAATCTCAAGCCAGATCTACATTATGCACGGGGTGACGCTGTGTGAGAGAATTAAGGAGTGGGAGAGCGAGAGAGAGAGAGAGAGAGAGAGGGAGAACGACGCTGCTCAGCTGACCTGGCCAGGCAGGGGTTGTTGAACCCTTTCACCGCACATGACGCCAGGGGGTGGGGTGGAGGGGAGGGAGGTGGCTCGCTGCAACAGGTGGGTGAGCCCCGCCCCCTGCGAGCAGGCACGTGGCGCTCCGTGGGGGGCGTTCGCTCTCCGGGCGAGGGGAGGGGGGCAGAGGGGGCCTACGGGCTCGCCGGCTGGGCCGAGCCGCACGCTCTGCTGGAGTCTGGAAGCGCCGCCGCGCCGCCTGCCAACCCGTCCCGGCCCGGCGCCTGCGGAGTCGTGGGTAGGCAGTCCCGTTACGCACGAGTGTCACGCGGGCCTGCCTACCCGGCCCTGGAGCCCGGGGCTCCCCGCCAGCAGCTCTCCCGCGCGAGCTGGTCTCGTCACCACCGGCCAACAACTCTTGCGCTAGAGCGAGACGGGTGCACACGGCCTCGCCGTCTCTCTCTTCCGCTCTCAGCTCCCACACGAACGGAGCTTCGTCTGTCTCTCTCTTTCGCATGGGGGTTTTGCTTTGCCTTTGCCCCGCGGCGGCGGCGGCTGGCGAACAATTAATTTGCCGGGGGCGCGTTTTGGGACACGCTGCTGGGCGCGGGACCGGGTCTGGCCGGGGCGCTGCTGTTAGGTATCTGCTCGCAGTCAGGCCGACAGAATACAGAGTATAACAGATGGGGCGGCGGAGACTTTACGGCGCCCGCTCGGGTCGCTTTTGATCGCGGAGACACAATATGGCCGTCAAACCGTCCTGTTTTACAGGAAACTGAAACTGAAACCGGCCGAGATGCGCGGCCGTCGCACGAAACAGACGGAGGCCAAACGTTACTCACCCACGACGTTGCCGAAGGCCAGCAGCTCGCACAGGTAGTACCTGTACGCCCACCAGTTGTGGTAGCGCAGGTTCTCCCACAGGTAGTCGAGCAGCAACTTCTTCTTCTGCTTCTTCTCGACCTCGGAGCAGATGCCGATGTCGAGGTCCATCATAAGGGCGTGGATCTTGCCACCCTCCCAGTTCTTCCACAGCCATCGCGGCGTGTAGAAGAGAATGGCCTGCCGACAAATGAGAGGGAACACCGTAATTATTTTCCCGCGCGGGACACCTCCTCCGAACACATCGCATCGTTGTCTCGTGGTTTTGGTATTATTTTTCTTTTCATTTCGTCGCATCGGTGGTTTTTGGTGACGGAGTTGGCAGCGGAGCGGGGCGTGGAGCGCGCGTGTGGAGCGGCGGCGCCCACATTCGCGACGCGTGCGCGGAATTGACCAATGAAAGCAAGCGTTTCCTCCCCCCCCCCTCTTTGTCGTGCGTGCGCGCCTTTGATCCCGAGAGAGGGATACAGGGTGGAGAGAAAAGGGGGGGGGGCAGAGGGAGAGAGCGAGCATGAGGAACTTAGGCCCCAGCAGCCCCACCAACCCCTTCCTCCCCCTCATTCTCTGGCGAATCCAAGAGTTACTCACTCATCCGAGCGGGGCGCTCGCGCGCCGCGGTCGCGCACAGGCCCGACGGGTACATTAGCGCACTCAAAAACGACCGTAAATATGAAACGGCTCTATAAAGCACCGCGCGCGCGTAAGGCTGCCCGGCGGGGTGGCTCGCGAGCGCTCGCGAGCAGCAGACCTCGTCCAGACGCCCCCCTGCGCCCCCTCTCTGGCTTTGGCCACGCCCGGCTGACATCAGAGGCCGCGGATCGTTTCGTTGTGTTGCTTTGCTGCTGCACTTCGTCCCGCGTCCGTTACACCGGGCCGCTCGCTAATGCACCGCTATCCTACGAAACAACGTCAACGTCGTTGCAACACTACGCCTAGTTGTTACTGTACAGAGCTATCGCTGACGAGGTCGCCGGGAAGATAGGCAACCCATCTCCCCCCCTCCCTCCCGCCTACTGACTGGCGTTTACGTAGTGGCTGTGGTGGTGGTGGTTGTGTGGTGGTGCGCTCTGGCGACTGGTCTACCATAACCTCTAACGCTCTCCGGTTCCGGTTTCCACCATATCATACCATCATGCAGCATGCAGCATTCCCGTCGTGAGAGAAGAGAATGAGTGTTGAGCTTATTGTTGGCAAATAGCGCCGATAGCCCCCGTGACTATCAGCCGTTTTCTTAATTTGCGTAAAATAAGCGTTTCTCAGACAATCTTTCACGTTGAATGAGGTATTTTCCGCCTGTGTTGAGGCCGAGTCAGGACGAGAGCGCGCGGAGCCTAACCTAAAGGTATGTATGTACTAAGACTTTTGAAGACTATTCGTTCGTTAACCAAAGTTTGCCATATTGCCTGAAACCCTTCCATGAAACCATCGTTATGCTCGCTTGCATTCATTTTCAACTATTCATAGCACTACTTGTTGCACGTGAGCTTAGGCACTGGCCAGCATTAGGGTTTTAAGGTTATGTCAACTTCCCTCATACTTTGCGAGTTTGAACGCTTGCCCGTCGTCAGGAAGCTGCGGCAGAATAACTGCGTTTCAAATGAGTATTATGCAGGTTGCAGTATAGTGGTGAAACAAGGTACAATGGTTTGCGGTTCCAGCATTGGCTCCTCCCAGCCCGGCCTGTACCACCTCTTGGTCTAGCACCCCTTTACCGGGCAAGTAAACGCACGCACGACAAGATATTCGTCAATGTAAACCAGTCGGTTTTCATGGGGTAAAATGTTTTTAAAATGCGCCTCCCGTGTAAGCATGGCGCGGTGCCAACAGCTGACGTTGGGTGGAGGGGTAGGGGGGGGGGGGATACGCCCAGCTCCCGCTGTGCGGTGGGAGCCGCGAGCCGCGGCGCCCCGCCCCGTCGCTTGCTGCTGCAGCGCCCCATGAGCGCCACCTTCACCGTTGCGGCGACCGCGGTGCTCCATCCGCACAGTATGGGGAGGACTGCTACATGAGAGGAAATAATTTGCTGTGCGTTTTTGTCGCCCCGCGAAGCTTGCACGGCGTTGAAAAACGTATGACTATAACGTGGCTTTTCTTGTGTTTTTTTTCGTCGCTAGATTTAACTGCGGCCGCCCCCCAAAACGTGAGCGAGGTCTCACACCTCACGCCCTGCGCTGCTGCTGCGGTGAGCCTGTGTGTGTTTGGACTCGAGGCAGAGATGAGTTATTGGCGCTGTGAAATAATGTTACTTTTATATTTTGGACGCGCTCTGTTTTGACAGGTGTCTGGGCAGCGTCCCCCGAGACTCCCTGCTCGCCTTCACCTTCGCCGAGGTGCGTGGACTTTTCTGGCTGGCTGCTGCTGCGTTTTGAGAAAAACAGGTGAGGGGGATGAGGAAGCTTCTCGCGTAGAAGGAGGTCGAGCTTACCGTAGCCGCGGCGGCCTAAGCAGGGGGCCGTTTATACCAAATCGGACATTATGATGGGGGTAGAGGGGGAGGGGGGAGGGGGGTCACACATCGCCCTGTCGAAACGATTCGCCCGCGTTGCGCGGGTAGCCCACTGGGGCCCTGCGCGGGCTTTGGGCTGAGCCCTTGCAAGCTGCTGAGCCCTGCAGGCTTTGGGCTGGGCAGACTGCAGGCAGGCACTCGCTCACTCCTGCTCGCGCCCTCCTCCCTACTCCTGCCCGACTCCCGACTCGCATCACGCCTCATCCACCTAAATTTAGAGCTTGCGAGTCTTTCTCTCTCGCTGGCTCTTCTCTGCGGCTCCACGCACGCTCTGTGCTGCACCGCGCGTGCACTCACCCAGCCAGCCCCACACATTCTCTTGTCTCCGATTCCCGATACCTCTATCCTCTCCGAACTTCCACCTCCCTGCTGCTCACCCCCCTAACCGTACCGTACACCTCGTCCTGAATGCCAGCGAACATGAGTTTGGCGGTATTGCCTGCTGCTGCCAAAGTGAAAGAACTGCAGGAAGTTTACCACAAGAAAAAATCAGTTTCAGTTTTCATCGACGGCCGTGTCGTCGACGTCGCGACGCTAGCCACCCCCACATGTATCCATGTATCATTCTGTTGGAAGGAAAGAAAGGGTTCCTCTCGGAGTGGATCAGGAGAGAGGGGGGGAGGGGGACTGGACTGCGACCCGAGGGGCGAGCCGGCGGACGGAAGGGCCGAAGGGGGTTGGGACGCTTTTCTATTTGCGTGAAGGACGCGGCGGGCGGCAGTGGGCTTTTTGTTTTGTGTAGCCTTGACTCCGCGCTCCGCACAATAGCGATCCTCTTAGGCCGGGCCGGGATGGGCCGATCTAACCCAATCGCGCTCCCCCCTTTCCCCCCCAACTCTCTCTCTCTCTCGCTCTCACGCGTACAAGCCAATGCCAAACCGCCGGGCCGGGCTGGGTCACTGTAATGTAAATAAGCTATTCGTTATTGTGAAACGGCTAGCCACAACAGCAGAGCTGCTCTGCTTGCTTGAAGCCGGTGACCGCGCGGGCGACGACGTCAGCAAGAGAGCAGTCGGGCGTCGTCGAACCCCGAGAGCGAGAGTGACAGGTGCACCCCACCCCCACTCTCTCTCGCCCTCACCTCAAGTCCACAAGCCCCCCCCCCCTCAATTCTCTCTCTCGCACATGGGGGTCGACGTCGTCCAAGCTATGCTGGCGGCGGGGAGGGGTTCCCGGTCAGCAGCAGGAAGGGCCGCAGGGTGGGAGAGTCCTGTCCTAGGCGGCCCGAGGTGAAGGGCTCGCCCCCACCTCCCCTGCACCTTCCCTCCCCTCGTCCTCCCCTCTCGGGCGCAGCGCATTGTCCCTCTCCCTGCCCTACCACCCTCTCTCTCTCTCCCTTCCCCATTTAAAGTTGCCGCGCCGCACCTATCGCACCCCTCGACCATCTCGACTACAAACGGTCGCGGCAAAAACTTTTTTATTTCGCGGGTGCAAAGGGAATAAATGTCAGGGACAGGTGTTGAGCGGCGCCGGGCGCACCGCCCGCCGTCGCCCCTCTGCCACGTTGAAATCCAATATCCGGCAACTATCGGCGCGCGCGAAAAAGTCTTAAAAGCGGCGCTTTGGACAGGGGAGGGGAGGGAGAGCGCGCGGCACGGCCGCGGTATCTGTTTGCATTTAGTGACTGCAGCAGCCAGCCCAAGGGCGCGCAAAGGCCGCCCCCTGAGGGCTTGCAGCCGGGCCTGGGCGACATACGGGACCTCCTTCGGCTTTATAAACACCGCCATTTGTATGCCGAGGTCGGCCGGCCGGCCGGGGTGGGACGGGGCGGCGGGGTGTTCCGCGAGGGTCGCTAATACGTGTCGGAGGAGGAGGGTGGCGCGGGGCCGGCGGCGCGGGTCCGGCGGGAAGGCATACCATATTCAGAGCATATTCGCGCGGATGTATGAAATCTGCGCTATGAAAACGGACGGTATAATGACCCTTTGGGTGCGCGCGGATATATGTTTTCACAAACTTTACAAGGCGGTCGGGGTGGTGGCGAGGGGCGGTGTGAGGTGGAGGGGAGAGGGGGGAGGGCGCAGCAGGCTCCGTGTGGAAGGATGCGCGTATGTTGCAGAGCGGGCCGATGATGGTTCGGCCTGCAGCGGAACTGACTTGCGCCGGGTAAGTACGTGCATCCTCGAGGCGCGTCCGGCCCGCCGGGGTGTTTCGCTGACGAGGCGAGAACAGATCCGGCTCCCTCCTCACGCTACGCTACGCCACGCCATCCTCACGGGGCTGGCCCGAGCAGGTGTGGTGTCATGCGAACCCCTCCTCCTGGGCGGAGGGAAACCTCATCTCGGAGGTTCGAAGCGGTCTAGTCCCCGCGCACGCATCTTTCCCTCCACTTTTACCCCTTCTTCCTCTTCTTCCCCTTCTTCCCCTCCTCCCCCCTTGCTGAAAAAAGGAGTGTGAGGAGGGGGGTGGGGGGGGGAGTTCTTGTCCATTCTCACTGGCCTGAGCCGCCCGCGGTTGACCTACTGACCCTTGCCAATAGTCTTCCACAACAAACAGTTTCGCGCGCGCCCGTCAGGGCAAGGGGAGAGAGTGGGGCAGGAGCGAGGAGAATCTAGGAGGGGGAGGGGGGTGTCCGTGGCGCTGGCCGCCCTGCGCTCTGCTGCGGCCGGCCAGCTCTATGGGATTAGATGCGGCCTCCTAATATCATGAATGAATGAATATTTTTGGGGGGTCGGAAACGCCTCTGACAACATGTCAAGGATGCCACCGCCCCTGTTCAGTGGGGAGAGGAGGAGAGAGAGAGTAAATGATGTGAAATTCCGGGGATTTTTCTGGACCCGCGCGGCTGGCGCGCGGTGTGTGACAGCAGCACCGCGCTGCGCTTCTCCACGCCACGCCCTCGCGTGTCTTCTCACGCGTGTCATTTAGAAAAAATAATGGATACAAATATTCTGATGATTCGCTGAGGGCTGAGACTTTTATGGACTCCTTTATGTCTACCTATCGCTCGGCGCGGCCGCGGCGGGTTGAGGTCGAGCAAACTGATGCATTTATGACGGTCCTGAGGAGGCCTCGCCCCGCCCCGCCCCACCACGCCCCACCACGCCACGCCACGCGATTGAGAGCAGCACTCTTGTGGGCGCGTCCTCACATCGGCATCCGTTGGGGCGGTGGCGGGGTGGTCCAACGGCCGTAAAGTGACGTCACGTGGACCTACCTAACCTCATTTCGAACGCTGCTGCTGCTGGCGTCGCCTACCATCCGACGGCGCGCGCGGTAGTATTCGAATTCGCACCGCGAGCTTCGATACCGCGCCATCACCACCTTTCGCCTATCAGTCTGTTGTTGCGCTTCGCTTTATCACCTTCCCGCTCGAGGAGTAAACACATCTCTATCGGAATGGATCGAGATATCGTGGGCAGCGTGCCCGGCTGGCTGGGCCTCTGCCTTTGCGGCACCTGTGAGGGTTGTTGATCGGGCCGCCCGACTCGCTTTGATCGTACGGGCGGCGGAGGGGTGATCGAGGCGAAAATGTTTGCAACGCGAGCAAAGCATCCGTACCCCGCAGCGGCGTGTACTGTACCACCACTACCGCCCGCCCTTACTCCCGGCTCGCAGGTCGGCGGCGTCCGTGACGTTTGTGGGCTTAATGTGGTGGCTGAAAGACGGCGGTCAGAGTACCTTCGAAGGGTGCTGCTGCTGGGCGGGTTGTAGTTGTGAAGGCGCACATTCGTTTTTGTGCAATAGCTCAGGATTTTTATTGCACGCTCGTTCTTCCCCAGGCACTCCAGCAAACGCTCATAGGATCTCTTACAAACCAAACAAAATCGAACAAGTGCGTTCAAGTGCGAGCGAAGTGGACGGCGAGTCGCGCCGCCGCTCTATTTTCGCCAAACGATTGGTCGGTGGTGTGCCATTGTGGCAGAGTGCAGCTGGCGAGTGCCTCCGCGGCGAGGCCGCCCCCCGCGCGCTAGCCGCCCGCGTCCACCACAATGTAGTACAGGAAGCCTTCTGTACGGGGGGTCGGTCCGCGGGGTCCGCGGGGTCCGCACCTCCGCGCGCGCCGGGGCCCCGCAGGAGCCCCAGGAGCAGTGCAGTTAAGCCCTCGGCCTCCTCACGGGGGCCCTTCTATTAATATCTCCAGTCGGGCAGACAGTAGTGAAAGCGCGCGCGCTCGCGCGCGGGGCGTTCCGTTCGCGCCGCCACGTCAGCGCAGCGTGGCGCAGCCGCGAACCAGAGAGAGAGGGAGGGAAGAGAGAGATTCTGGCGAGCATCGCGACCGTTGCAGCCTCCTTGCTTCTCTGCCCCCCGCATCCCTCCCCCCCTCCCGGCGCCATAACATTTGCGTAACGCAGACGCTAACACTCGAGGTGGAGGGGGGAGCGGACTTACATGGAGGGAGGGGAGGGGTACGGGGTGCGTGGGGGCGCAGGGAAGGGCGGAGCAGGGAAGCACGCGTACTTGAACTTCCGGTCGGCAGGAGGAAGGAGGTTCTGTTTTTGCCCACATGCCCACGCGTGGGACCACCGGAAGTGAGTGACGCGGCGCCGCCGCGGTACACCAAGTCACGTGTGCAGACTCGCCCGCGAGCGCTAAAGTCATGCGCCCACGCTCCCGGTCTGATCGGTGGTAACGGTGCGCGGTCACTTCCGGTGGTCGCAGGGAGGCGGACATGGTGTGTGTGGGCGAGGGCGTGGGGTCGTGAGACAGACAAGTAGGTGTGTTTGTAATCGGTCGGATATAAGGGCTGGCCGACTGATGACTGATTCCGCCGAGCGTTCAAGCGGTTATGCCCCACGAGTGGGACAAGGCGGAGCCAGGAGAGGATGTACAATGTACACGAAAGCCGATCCTCAAATCAGAAGGCAGGTCCGCCCGTCTTTTTTCTCTCTTCCTCTCACTAACGCAGGTGAGAGTGAGAGAGACAGAGGCCTGTCGGCCAGGCCCGCTTGGTATTTAACCAATTTAACCCCGCCTGATTGCGAATGACCAGTGTAAAGCTCGGTCAGGCGTCGGTCTCTCTTGCACTCACACTCTTTGCCCGAGTCACTGTCCACGTTCGCCACAGGGGTCGTTGATGGACGCACTTCTGCTGGACACGTTGGGGGTTGGGGGGTAGCTGGGGTTTTCCAGGAATTGCTCTCGCGTTGAGAGGGGTTTGGGAGGGAGTGGTGGTGATGACGGATTAGCGCGGTGGGCACGGGTGGGTGGGGTGTGGAGAGGAGGAGGAGGAGGAGGTGGAGGAGGCGGACTTGTTTTTCCCAAGGACTGCGCGGCATAGAGGAGCCCAGCAGCGCGGGCTTTGGTCGGATGATTATTTGTTTGGTAGTGCCGTTTGGTGCGTGCACACGGGGCTTGACAGTTATTAGCACCTTGGGTCCGCCCCGCCCCGCCCCGCCCTGCCGCGCCCTGCCGCGCCCTGCAAGCGCCGCCGCCACCCCCATTACCGGCCCTCGGACAGCAGGCCCGGGCGCGCTGCTTTGAGATCATAGGCACACCAGAGCTAAACAAACCGTCACGCTGCGGCCGGTCCAGAGTGCGTACGGCCTGCAGCTCGCAAGGGGTGGGGCGGGGCGGGGCGTAGCAGGGCGTTGCGCTGGCCTCGGCGGCGCGACCGGCCGAGGAGAACTTCACTCACAACGAAAAAGCAGTCCACACCCCTCAGGAAAATCAGAGAAAAATCAAATAGTAAAACAGAAAAAAATCGAGAAAGAAAAATTAGGGAAAGTTGGAAAAATTGGAAAAAATATTAAATCAAGTGTAAAATGAACTGTTAAAGTACTTGAATGTATGGCAAAGGATCCCTTGTTGTGGCCGGCTCGCGCGAGGAGGAAGTGACGAGTATACCCGACACCCCCGCGAGGGACGCCCGTTGGCCAGGTGAGAGACCAGCGTGAGCGGGGACAAAGAGGCTAAACTTGTGACGCCGGCCAGGTGCAGCGGCGGTGGCGGCGGCGGGCAGGGTGCGCAAGATGACTATCGAACATCCTGGGCCGCGCCACTGCCCCCGCCTGTCCCTCACCTCCGCCCCCGCCCCTCAGAGGCAGAGAGGGGCTTCATTAGGCGCACGGAACTGACTTTTCGAAGTCCGAAAGCAGGGCGGGACTAATTGGGTTGCTTGGCTGCTGGCGATGGACGAGTAGTGCACCACGCTTTTCAACACCTACCCGACCCGACCCCCCGCTGGCTGCGGCGGTGCGCCCTGCTGGCGGGGCCCTAGAGGGGACAATGACGGACACCGCTGCGGCCACCACAAACTACCCCCTTCCCCTTGCCCTCCTTCCCCTCTTCGGCCCGCCGAGCGACTAACTAACCCAATCAGTGCGTCCCGCACATAATTTGACCTGCATATTTGCCGCGCCGCAGCTGCCGCAGCTGCAGCTCCTCCTGGCTGTCGGGCGCAGCCGCCCCACCTGCGTTTTGTCGCGGCCGGCCCGGGTCTAGCAGCGTGCCGCGTTAATGAAGCCTCATTACCGAGACGGATGGTCTCGTATGTGAATGAAGGGACCTGCCAGCCGAGGTGGGGGCTCGAAATAAGGCGTTCAATCTCATCTCCTGACGCTGTTATATTTACACGGGCGTTATTCTCGTGATGTGGAGGGAGAGGAGGGGATGTTCTCATTGAGTTATCAGCACACGCGCTATGAAGACTCCATCATAGCCGTTCTGGTGTATGTGTGCGTGTGTGTGTTTGTGACTGCCGAAATGAAATAAGTCATTCTCTGTGTCCGTGTGTGTGCAGTTGTGCGCCATCAACACAGCGCTGGTAAGTTGTCGCATTGAGCTGTCGCGCGGGGCGCAGGTGAGAGAAGGGCCCTCCTTGTGGACCGCCGCCGGCGCGGCGTCCTGTTTTTACGAGTGTTGGGGTTGTGCGGGGAGGAGGGAAGGGACCACGGACCACCCCGCGCCGCCATCCATCAGTCAAATTGTCGGGGGGCCACCACGTCATAAAATGCGCATAACACCCCAACCGCGCCACGCCACGCCACGCCGAGGAAGCGCGGCGCCGCACCGGGGCAGCAGGGCAGGAGAAGCGCGTGAAGCGCCTCCTCGTCCTATGAATAGGTCGGGGGGCCCGCGCGCCTGCCCATGGGCGCGCCCTATGGGCCGTGGCGGGCCGAGGCGGGGCGCGGCCCATGGGAGATCCCCCCCCCCCCCCGGTTCCCGGTAGTACATCAGCGCCGGCCGACGCGCACTCGGAACTCGGCGGCGGCGGCGGCTTTAGCTCGGCGCGGCGGGGCCGCTAGCACAAATATTAGGGAGGTTGTCGGGAGGTTGATCCGCGCGGACATTTTCTATGGTTGTTGTTTTCACCCCCTCCTCTAGGAGGAGGTGGTTGACTCTCGACGAGCGCGCTGCTCACCGTGGCTGTGGCGGCCGGAGTGCCCTGCTCGCGAGGCTGAACAAGACTCCCTCGAAGGCGCACGTCTGAGAGCCGGGCCGGTCGGCCCTAGAGGTGCGGGGCGTGTGCGAGCGCCGCGGGCTGAGCGCGGCACTTCTAAGTATTCGAGTCCCGAGGAGGGGCGGGGAAGGTGCCGCCGGTGCGCCGGTAGGGGAGGTAGGGCTAGAGGGCCGCAAGATGCGCGTGCGAGCCGTTGGACGGCGACGGCCGACGGCCCGGCCCTGGGTGTCCGAGAGACGTGGGGTTGCCGAGGAGTTACCCCGCGTACATCGTGCGCTGATCAATACTTTCCAATCTACTTGTTTCTCCCTATAAGGGTGTTTCATAGACAAACGCAATGAAATTTTACCATTTTCACTTTTGCAAAATTTGAATTTGCGTTTTTTCCTCCTCGCCTCTATACCTCCAAACGCTGTGAGCTCACACCCACCTGGAAAAACAGGCAGAAGCAGACCCACTGGTAGTAGCCGTAGTACTTCCGGTCCCGGCCCTCCTGGCTCGCGCCGCGTGCCGACGTGTCCACCCCCGGGTAGGGCACCTCCTCGCCCAGCTTCTTCTTGAAGGACGTGCTGATGGTGTACGTGGAGTGGATCCAACAGTACGTGTTCAGCACGTCTTCTGGAATGTCCTGGAAGCACACGGAGAAAAGCAACGCTACGATTATACAGGGCTTTCAACTCATTTGAAATGTTGCTGTCTGATTCTAATCATATAGATAGTGAATAAGACTAAGACACAACGGTAAAGTGGTAAACCGTGTCAATTTTTTTTTTGAAACATACATTTTTAAAATTTTCATGTTTTTAAAAATATTTTTGTGAAAAATATTAACAAATTTGCAAATTATTTCCTCGGATCTTCATTTGTCATCTCTTATTCTTCCGTTCAGTGAGGGCTTATTCAAAGAGAAACCAAATGATAAAGTTTTCCCCCGGGTCCCCGCCTCCGTGCGCGTCCCTGACGACTCCAGCCCGGGGCAGAGGGTAGGCCGCCGGGCGGACCCGCCCGCACGCGTGTCGCCGCGCGGCCTAACTCCCCGGCGCCCGCCGTCGCCCTCCCGCATATCGCATGTTAAACGACCTGCCCAACCCCGGCCCGCGGGCTGCCCATAAAGTTGGCCGCGACCGATACATTTTGAGGTGTGTGTGTATGTGAGGGGGGGGGG